TCCCACCACTCCTCTGTGGCTGGGGTAGCAATTCTCTATGGAGAGCTGGACCCATAACTCCTGGGTTGATACTCAGCATGTAAACCAGCAGAGGCCCACTTCTGATCTCCTGTACCATGAGGAGTATATCAGGACGTCTCCAGGGAACTCTGTGGAGCAATGCCTCTTTGCAATGTTGACCTAGTGTTATGCAGCTGAAAAGATCCAGTATAACCCCCCGAGTCAGTCACTTGGTGACAACAGACCTACAGATGAATAGCTTGAACAGTTTTGGACAGAAATTTTTTAATTTTTTATACTGGGCTATGTACAAGCATTTTGGCTTGCTGTGATGGCTGCTCATTCTCTAACCTCAGTTAACCCTGTCACACACATGCAAGTGTGGGGAGAAAAGAGTACAAAGTCTGTATCTGCTATCCCTCAGCTAATGTAATCAAATACTTCAGCAATCAATAGTTATCAGCCTTGCCAGGGTCACGGGCGCCACAAGGTTATAACAGGGCAACTCTCTTTGCAGCCTCTCCTAAAAGCAGTACTTTTCTTAAAACAGCAGATCAAATAAGACTAAAGACAATAAAAGCAAATAGAAAAATATTGGTGAGGTAAAGGCTGGTGAGAAGGAGGCAGCCTCAGACATGGGTTGTGCGAGCTTTTATCATTTTTCATTTAACTTACTAGGTAAAATGCATGAACAAATACAGGCAGAAGAGGGGCAAAGACCTCACCCCCCAAGTGAGAACCCTAACCATCAGATTAGCTCATTTATTCATTCCTTTTCTCAGGGAATCTGTGGGCTCTCTTCTCTGAAAACTGGAAAAGATTCAACAGGATGATTTGCATCACTCCTTGATGGTACCCTCATAGTCTAAGTGCTCTCTCAGATGAGAAAAGATTCAGTTGTGACACTTCAATTGTGTGACGTCCCTGAGACAGAGGAAGGTACTGAGTCCAGTCTCTGCACACCCCAGGGGATGACTAACCTTGTGGTTGTCCTGTATAGGGTAAGACCAAGGGGAAACCCCTGAGGGAGGCACATGACACTGTGGATTAGGCACACCAAGGAGTTTAAGTACTCAAGCCTTTTTTGGACCCAGATGAGCTCTGCATTGGTATCAAGGTTTAGAGCTGGGCTGGCCATTAGATAAATGAGAATTGCTCTCTCTTAGCCCCCCTCTCCCTTTCCAAAGGGGAAGAGGAAGGGAGTAAGGGAAGGAGATTTACAGATTGGAAAACTAAAACAGCTTCAATGAAAATAGTAATAATAAAATGAAATATCTACAAACCCAGTATTGAACCCAACCCCCCTGGGGGTAGTTACATCACTGCCACCACTGATGCTCTGCAGCAGGCACCGGGGGAGTCCCAGACTGGGCTCAGCATCAGGTGGGAAAGAGATTCAGGAGCTGGATTCTGGAACACATAGATTAGGTCAAAGGCAGAACAGACAGAGTCCTCCTTGGATGGCAGCCACTGAAGAAAAGAGGTTAACCTTTGTGATCCCTCAGCTTTATACTAGATAGGGCACATATGGGATGGAATCCTTTGTTAGGCAGGTTTGGGTCACCTGTCCTGTCCACACCTCCCCTCAGGTGCAGCCTTTTACTTTCTGCATGCCCAACGCAGTACAGAAGATTTAGCAGTGACCTTGGCCTGCACACCCCAATCCTTGTCAGTAACTGTAAACATGGAGTGTTATCACTGCTAGAAGCAGAGACTGCCTGTGAAAATCTGCTGTTAACTTCAGGAGGTGCAGTTAGTTCTGAGAGACTGAGCTGAAAAGAAAAATCTCCGAGCAGAATTAGTTCTGTTCCAACTCAGACCAGGCCAGTTGGGGTAGCCAGGTGCCTCTGCACAGCTATCTTGGGATTAGGAGCAAGACAAGTGAGAGCAGGTGGCTCATAACCCATCAAAAGGTTTTGGCTGAGCAGATAGAATCTAGGCAGTAAAAACGTTTTGCAGTTTTCAGGCTAAAAGAAATCCTTACCTCATCATGGGGTTCTTGGAGGTGACATGATGACCTTACTTGTGGAAAAATACACCTTGAAAACAAGATAGTTTTGTGTTTCTGAAACCATGCTGGCCATAGCTGTTGCTCACAAGCTGGGATTCATCCACAAAGGAACTACCTCAGATGGATGTTAAGGCTTGTGTAGAACTACCCCAGGCAGATTCATCTGCCTCCAGCAGGCTGGACCAGGTCCTTTGCAGCAACCTAAGTGTGAAGCAGCAAAAGCCACACTTGGAGGGAACAGTAGCAGGCTTGGGAACAGGAGGATGCAGTGTGGAAGGAGCTCTCAGTGGCTGGGACCTGGCCCTTGTCAGCTGCAGCACACTGGTGATTTTCTCAAGGTTAAGATTCAGCCTGGAACTGCTTGACCGGATGACGCTAAAACCACCCCAGCCAGATTTTAAAAGGAATAAGTCGCCACTGCATCGTGTGGAGATTGGGTCTGCAAGGCTTGCTTTGAGGAGCATCTCAATGGCAGAAGGGGAGGACCCATCAGGTCTGTGAATCCTGATGGGCTGAGGGTCAAAGCTCTGTGCAAAGTGCTGCTCTTCTCAGTCAGAACTACAGCACTTCTGCCCTCACACAAAACCAGAACTGTAGGCACCTAGAGCTGCCACTAAGTTCAGGAAGCCACGCTTCAACCTGCTCAGCAGTGCGTTTGTGCTTCTGCACTGTGCTTTTGAACTAAAATTTTCAAGCCCCATCTAAAATTCTTTAATTTTTATTTTATTTTATAGCATAAATATCAGGATAAACTGGTGTTCATAACAAGAACTTTCATCCAAGTTTCTGTAGAAAAAAGAAAAGAAGCCAAATGAGGAAAAGTCATGGAATCTGCTCTGATATGCACCATAAGGTAAATACAGCTAAACACCACACAGAGGGGGCTTGATCATAATTATGCCTGCAGTCTGCCCCTCCTCAGCTAGCTGCATACAGGTTTGGTGGTTAAAGCAGTCACTGCCTCCTAATAACCTTGGAATTAAATAGTAAAAAGGTTACATACTATTAAATGGACTGCTGTCAGTGTAAACACCCAGCTTGCTAACTGTTGTTGACTTTGTTTTCTGCCAAGACAGACAACTCTGTGGGACACACTTCAAATCAAATAATCTTGTGGCACTTAGGGACATGGTTTAGTGGTGGACTTGGCAGTGTTTGGTTAACAGTTGGACTTGATAGTCTTAAAGGTCTTTTCTAACCTAGATGATTCTGATTCCACGTGTAATGAAAGGAGAGAAGGGTCACTTTAGAGCAATTCCCTAAAGAGACACAGATTTTTAAAATTGAAAGCTCATTTTATACAATTCACCAATAAATAAGACCCTGCAAACCCTACTTATCTTTTTGAGGATAACAGTAATTTCTAAAAGACATCTCATCAGATAGCAGGATCCCATAGAGATTTTGAA